GAAGTAGTAATAGTTGTTTAGTGTTTTTTCATGTTTTTTTGCGTTTTTTCGTGTTTTTTTGCGTTTTTCGTGTTTTTTGCGTTTTTCGTGTTTTTCGACTTTTCGTGTTTTTCGACTTTTTGCACGCTGAGCGCCGACTCCGCTTGTACACGACGCGCAAAATGCTCGCTTAGTTAAGTGGCGGGAGCCTCCAGGAAATGGTCTAGTGCGAAGGAAAGAAGTTGCAGGTCCCCTTCCCGTGGAGGGCGCCCGTCAACGAGATCCCCAATGAGCTGACCCTCACCGTCTGCCGCGGTGAAGTCCGCATTTGCGTCTACTCCAATGAGGAGGGGGGTGGAGAGAGGCAAGGCATGGATCTCGCGTCGCAAGGCGGACCAGAAGTCAACGATGTCCTGCTGAGGCCTGTCTGCGTGAGGAGCATGTGCGGAAATGATGACGACCGGGAAGGCAGGCCGTTGACAACGGATGACCAAATACCTGGGAGAAGACGCCACAATTCGCTAGTCTTGGAGCTGCAGGTCGCCGCCAAAGGCACCTTGGTGGACCCAGATTTCGACCCCGTATTGACCCTTCTCATGCCCGCTGCGCCAGGTAAGGTAGGGGCCGGCGGCATACCTTCCGGCATTGCTCCTGCACTCCTGTAGGCAAAGCACGTCGATAGAGAGGGCCTGGGCTTGCTTCACCAGGAAAGCTCGGCGCTGGCCGCCAGCCGCAGCGGAGAAGAAGGACTTGCGATCATCCTTGATGGTTTGAATATTGGCTGAGACGACCTTAACCTTGGCACAGTCTCGTTCACCTTCAGCGGCTGCAGCTCTGGGTCGGCAGACATACAACTGCGGTATACCGTCTTGCATGCGGCAGCGGCGTATAGCCCATAGCCACGGCCCGAATTTTTCAATTCGGGGAAGGAGGCCGGCGGCCGTGCATAGCGGGAGGTGGTGCCATTCCAGGCCGGAGGCGCCCAGGGAAGCCAGAGAGTCCGCAACCTCGTTCACTAACACCCCAACATGACTCGGGGTGTGGCAGAAGTGCACGGCTTGCTGCGACTGGACTAACTGCCACAAGCAGCGGAGGGACTGAGCTGCGCAGGTATGGGTTGCCGAGAGCCCGGCGGCTATCTGTAGAGCCGAAGTGTTGTCGACCGTCTTACACCATATCTCGTGCAGACCACAATAGGCACTCAGCCAGGCCGCGGCGGCGTGCAATGCGGCCATCTCAGCATGGAACGAGGTTTGCGTGTGGCTGAAGGAGCTCGGGAATGGGTACCATCGGGCGGAGTCGAGAGGCCCAGTGGCACAGCCTAGCCGGTACCAAGTAAGCTTGCGCCTAGCCCAGACAGCGAAGGCCCACCCACCGTGGCCCTCACCAGAACCGTCCGTAGACACAAGCAAGGCGTCGGGGACACCTCCAGGCCATACAGGAAAGCTTTGCCAGGCCTTCCCAAGGCGGGAGCCTTGCGGCAGCTCAGTGTGCAGAGGGGCACCCCAAACTTGCAAGAGGTCGGCCAAAAGTGCGGCAGCATTTGTGAGGTCGCAATACCCAGCACCACATGCGTCCGTACTGACAGCAAGTTCTGGGGAGCTGGGCGCACCCCATGCCAGCAAGTAGCATGCTTCCCGGGCAAGGGAGATGTTGCCACCTTCTCCTTCGGGGTTAATAGGCCTGTGAGCACCTCCTGGTGCAAAGGAAGACAATCTGACAATGTGTTGGCATCCTGCCAGATACCCCTTGCCCGGGTGCCCTGCAAACGGCCACTGAGGGGTCTCCCATTGATCAGGAGGACCGTGCCCATGAGGGTAACCGTTCGCTCCTCTACCTGTCAAAGCCCATGTGGTGGAAGGGCTATCAGTTGCAGAGCAGGGTCGAGGCACAGGGGGGCTGGGCGTCTCTGTCAGGACATGGAGGCAGAAAAGTCCTATCATTCCAACGGGCAAAGCTGAGACCCGACCCTTTCCCTCCGGAGGGATGCAGCAGGAGGCGTAAACCCAGGCTAACCCCTATAACCCCGAGGTGTGGGTCAGCGCTACTGGGAGCATCGCTGGCTGCAACTTCATCAACAGCCAGCCAGTCCCCATCTCTGAGCTCGGGATCCGGGAGGTCGGGTGGCTTGTCGTTGACTCCGGCAGAAACAACATAGGCGCCTTCTTCCAGATAGGCGGCCGCTTCAGCCTGGTGCAGGTGCCGACAGACCGGGGTGTCTCCAGAGAGAAGCACAGCGCGGCGCATCTTGTCGGCGGAGCGACGCAGCAACCACGGCTTGCGGCTCGGACGAACTGGCATGGGCACCCAGCGTCCGTTGAGGGCCCGGCCGCCGGGGCTTCGAATAGTCATCCCTCTAGGGTCCCAATGACTACCACCCGGGATGGCTACGGCAGTGGCAGGAGTATCCGGAGCCCATAAGACAACGGTTCCAGAGTGGAAAACCATAAAGGTGTTGTGCCAAACCGCCTCCTGCCCTGCTTCCTGCCAGTCCCGGAACCAGGGCCAGGCAGCCGGCTGACGAAGTGGGTGAGCAGAAGCCAAGGCGATGGAGAGTCGGTCCCCGTTGCGAAGGTACAAGTTGGAGTCAATGGCACCGAGAATCAAACACGGTAGCGGCACACCAATGCGGACCGGCACACCAACCCGAACCGCCATCGCAGTCTTAAGTGCATCAAGGGTGATGACAGTGGGCAGTAGCACAGCAAAGGTAGTGCCCAGGCCATCGACGATGACTGTAACATATTCAGCAGGGCCCCTGACGACAAGCTGCAGGGATCCTCTACTCAAGGGTGGGTTACAGACTGCAACCCCTTGAGTACCGGTTGGGGAGTGCTGCAAGGCAATAGCTTCAATCTGCTGCCAGAACGCTTCTATCCTTACTGAGACCGCTGCGGTAACGCCTGCAAAGGGACACCATACCTGGATAGGACAGCTGTCGGGACTGGGGCCAGCCAATTGCGCAATCAGAGGGATCGCGTGCACTCTGCCTGCTTCATGAACAGGTAAATCCCGCAGCTGTTCGCTCACCGGGGACCGAGAGCGATCTCTCGAGCTAGAGGCTGGCTGACTGCATGTGTTGTCAGCGACCGTATCCGTGCTCAAGATGCTCAGCAAACTTCCCAGCCGTATAAGCGGGTTGTCCGACAACGCGGAGAGGATAACAACAAGGAAAGCTCTGGACAGGGCCTGGCTGTGCGATACGCCGGAAGTACTGCTGACGGGATGGGCATCTACACTGTTCTCTTCGGAGGTTCGTGGAGTATGTGGGGCGCTAAGAACAATGTCCCCATCACGGAGAGTGAAGGGTCGGTTGGCACGTAGCATACCCCCCACAATCCGCAGAGTTGAGGGCGCGGCCGAAAGGGCTGTGGCGAGGCTTTCCTCTGTGCACGGATTGTCCAGGCAAACACAAGAGCAGCCCCCCTCGCTCTCATGGAGCACAATGGCCGTGTCCTGGTGTGCAGAAGCGCAGACAAGATTGGGCACCTCGTCATTAACCCACGGCACTGGTACCCAAGACCCAGCTAGATGGCTGAGCAGAAAACTGGAGAAGGTGAGCAAGTCCGGATCCCATGTGCTACCGGCCTCAACCGACACTTGTTGTGGGAGCTTGTCTCCTGGCCTCCAAAGCCGTAGCCGAACCGGGGCGAGGATTCGAAATGGCAAGCTCCAAGGCACAGCATGGCGGAGGAAGGATTCGTCATCTGTAGCAGTAGTGCCCGGTCCCGTCGCCATTTCAGGGATGGCCAGGATGTAATCCCCAGATCGCAACTGGAGATATGAGGTGCCGGCGGTTGCTTGTCTGCGGATTTGCGGCGGCAAGGCGAGAGCGAGTGCATGTCTGCCAAATACATGTCTCAACGTACGCAGCAACCATTCAACCGTCACAACGCGCGGTGTCAGCAACGCAACAGTGGCGTGCCAGACTCTCGCAACGATACAGACAGTAGTAGGATCCGGAGGGGTCGGGACAACCGTGAGCTCAACCGCGACTGGAGCTGGCCAAACTGGAGCATAGCCGTCTGCCCAAAGGATCCTGTCCTTGTCCGCCCGACTGAAGGAATGGGTGCAAGAAGCCTCAGCATCCACACTGACTGCTTTGCCCGCGCCCCAGAAGGGGCTAAGGCAGGCGACCTGGCATTGTCGGCCCTCTACAAGCATGAGTAAGTTCGCCTCATCAAAGTGCGTACGCCACGGAAAACGGCCAACCCTCACCAGGTTAGTGTGCAACCCTTGCCTGACATAGTCAGGGAAGGGAACAAAGACGGGACCTGTGGAGCGCGGTTCGAACATTGCACAAGCCCCAGTGCACAACCAGCAAAGCAGGATCCAACGCATCCTGCCAAGACCAGGCAAAAGGAGAGTGAGCCAAAAGAGCGGCCTCCACCCCATGCTCCTGCTGGTGTATGAGCCGTCTGGGACAGGCTCAGGTCGTGGAGGTCCAGCATATGCAAATCGAACACAGTCGCCATCACGCAGAGTCAAGGCAGTGGTTGCCGCAGTTGATCCCTCTTCCTGAGGAGTGCGAAGGCTGATGCGACTACCCTCCAAGGTAAGATGTTGGACATCATCGCTCGTGAGGTGGGAGGGGAGAGAAACAGCCCAAAGCCGTTCGTCATCACCACGCAGGATCACATTTGCACGAAGAGGGTCGACAGCACGTGGAATCATATGAAGTGCTCCGCAGTCGGGCTGTGGACGGACAGGGACCAGTGCTGGCCATCCCCTCAACAGGGCATGGTCCTGCAGAAAGTCATGAGCCAAAGCAGCCTGACCCGGGCTTCCAACTGGGAGCCAAAGAGGGGCACATCCCCGTCGTTGAAAGGGATCATGCAAGCAAAGGGGAACACGTGCGAGTGAGGCTCCCAAACGGACTCCCATGCCAGCAGACGCTTCCGCTTGCAAGTAGACAGACTGCACATGCTGAATGGAAGGCGCGTCAGCAACTCGGAGAAAGTTGAGGGGTTGTTCTTCCGAGATTGGGGCAGAGGTGCGCGCCTTGCTGTCCTCAGCAACGCTTACCGCAAGTGGTCTGCCAGGAAAGTGGCCGAGCGTATGCGCATGCCGGTGCTGGCCGGTAGACCCACAAGGCCCTTGGCCTCCCGAATGAAGGAAGGGCATGTGTCGCCCGGCAGGCACAGGAGACCTCGACCGACTTCGATCCCCCGCCAGAGTGGGCGCACCCCAGATTGGAAGGAGAAAGGCAAGGGGCATGACCCACGTACGTGCAACCGAGTGCTTCTGCAAAACAACTCCGGCAAGGAGACAGATACCAGGCACAAGAAGGGCAGGCCGAAGGGATCGGAGTTCTCGGTCCCGCGGAAGGTGGGGGTGGTGTCGACCTCTCGGCCTCGCCCTTGCAGTAAGGGAACCTCTGCAGAGGGCAGACCTTCGGCCGCTGGCACATGCGCCTGGGCAGCCAGGGCAGCGAGTTGGCATTGCATATCCTGGATAGCCCACCAGACATCGTCTAACGTGGCCGTGCCCGGTTCCGTTTGTATAGCAGCATGCCGTTGTGTGATCAACGACGGGCAGGCCTGCAGGGAAGGACAACTGTTCCGTGAGCAGATAGCAGCTGCTGCTGGAACCCCACAAGCAGCGGAACTCGCAGGGCCAGCAGGTAGAGCTGGCTGGAGGGAGCTAGAGCCAACGGCGAGGCTGAGTGCCCACCTGCGGTGACCACCTGTTCCAACTCCCTCGGCGCTTTGCGGCACCAAGTAAGCATTGATGGGTGCTTCCCGTGTAGGGCCCGTTTGAAGCATCCGGGCTGGTAAAGGGGGTGGGGACTCAAGCGCCCATGGATCAGGAGGTGCCAGATAAGCAGTGTGACGGTGCCGTGGGCAGTGCAGAACGACGAGATCACCATTCCTTATCTGAACTGCCTGTCCATATGAGTATCCACAGTTACCCAAACTAAACCCGAATGACTGTGACGGGGTGGCATCGCGGAAAACATCCGCGACCCACCGTCCGCCCAGTCGAAGTGTTGCGCATCGAAAGCAAAAACCACAGCGCGGCCGTCGAGCTGCACAAGGCAAGCAGCTATTCCAGAATGGCCAAAATGCAGGGGTACATAAGCGGCGTCATAGATGGCTGGGTCAGCCGCACCACGGATGGGAATGAGGGTGCCCCGCTCGACCCCGAACCCTCCTAGCTGAACAATGCCATGAATCTCCTCCTCAGTCGGCCAAGGAGGCCCTGACAATTGAATGGGGGATGGATGATCAACGATCCAGATACGGATGGCCGTATACACGCGCACCTGTGGAATCTGGACTGCTTGTTGCATGGAGTGCCCTGTCCAGACCTCTACGTCAAGTAACCACATGGCGACCAGGCCGAGCTGGCGGCCCGGACGGAGTCCAGTGGAGGCAACTTGTGATCCGGAGACCCCCGGCAACCCCGCGAGGAGGAGGCAAGCCAGACTGATGGTGCTCATCAAGGGTACGGTTCGCCAGGCAGAACCAAGTGCAAGTATGAGCCCCCCTTGACCGAGCGCCGCGGTAAAACCATCAACCGGATTGACAACAGTTGCCCGTGCTCCTTGAGGTGGGATCGTGCATCGTGCCAGCCGGCTGTGATGGGCCAGAGCATTGACCTCACCCGCAGAGTTCGTGGTAACCGCCAGCCGATGTCCAGCACAGGGAAACCAAATGACTGGTCGAAGGAGCTCGCGACTAAGTAGGTCACGGACAATCCACCAGCTACCTTGTCCTCGCGGCACAGCCACTAGCTCAAGCGTGTGCGGGTCCGTGTCAGCAGCCACAAACAGTTCATGTTCCCCAGGACAAAAGCCGCCGAGCCTGAGAGCCTGATCAAACTCAGATGCGGTGTCTGTCCACCTGACCAAGGCAGGCCCTCGCATGGCGGTCCAGAGCCGTAGGTCATGACTTGCAGCCCCGAGTGAGCATAACCACGGGTAGATATGCTGAGGGTCTAGAGGGAACATAGCGGCCATTGCACTAGCCTCAAGAGCAGGCGTGAGGGGAGGATTCCAGCATTCGTCCCTCTGATCTTCAACTGCAACAGTGGAGAAGGGAGGGGAAGGCTCGCTGTCGGTGGCATTGGGATTTGAGGATTCTTCAGATGTGGGAGAAGCCTGCTGAGCAGGTCGCGCAGTGACACCGAGGATCCACCCGAGGGAGAGCCATTTAAGTGGGGCCTTCCCAAGAGCCCAGAGAGCGACACTCACGACCGAGGCGGCTTGGTGGGCCGAAGGGGCGGCCCCTTGCCCCAGAACCTCCCGACCGCTTTCACAGGTCTGATGCAGAGTGAGGCATCGCCCCGTGGCAGTGCTTAAATCTTGAGGGTACCGCCACCATTGGTCCTCAGTTGTGACAACAAGATCAGCAGCATCCCACGGAGTGAGGCCGCCGAGGGACACAACCGCGTCCCAAGAGACCTGGGGAGTGCATGCACCGTTCCATCTACCCTCGATCTTCAAGGCCCAAATCTGCATGTGTGGACCACAGCGGACAACACACGTCACGTCAGCTGCTTCGCACCGGATGACTCGGAGGTCTCCGTCAGCATCCTGAAGGTGTGAGGGATGACAGACCGGTACTGCAGCCCGAGGAGAAGGGCTTCGGACCGGTGAGGCAGCCCTAGTGGTAGCAGCACCTTGCCTGGAGGACGGGTTGCGACCTGATCCGGCTATCCCGGTGGGAGGTCTAGTGCGCAGAACTGTTGCCCTTTGACGGTGGACAGAAATGCTGTCGCCAGGAAGAGCTTGCAGGTCGAATGCCATGCGAACAAACAGGGTTTTGGTGCCCGTGCCTTGGGCACACAGGCCATGCACGGTTTGGACGGTCCTGAGATCTGCGGTGGAGACCAAGCTGCACACTGCTCTGGCTGAAGTGGACGTTCGTGCACATGCTTCGAGCACATCGACCGCAACAGAGAAAGAACCAACAGCGGCCAGGGCAAGTCCAGTGTTGGGATTGCCAAAATGGTCGTGCAACCACAGGACGGCATTAGTGGCACCAGCGACAATGGTCTGGAAACATGGAAAACCTACCAGGTTGGAGAGCTCCAGGACCTCCACAGCCTGCCTAGGCGCATGATTCCGCTCCCGAAGCCATGCCTGAACTGCTCTGTGAGGGCTTCGGCCCGTGACGGTGTCATGCAGAATTTGCACACCGCGATGAACCGTCAAAACCGCAATCTGACGGTATGGAGGCACATCTAACCACCGAGATGGCCGAGCGAGCTCAGAGTAAAGGAGAAAGCGGCTGGCATCAGCTCGCCCAAATTCCTTGTCAAGCTCAACCCGAATGACATCACCGTGCCGGAGCGGCGTGGCCATCGGCAGGAAACGCACACAGTCGGATCTCAACTTAGCTTCACACTGTCTCAAGAGGAAGTCCTGCGGAGCTTCACGGGGCACATCAATGCAAATGCAGGATGTATCCGATGCGAAGAGCGTTGTGCGATATCCCGATTCAGTGGTAACAGCAACGAAGTGCACAGCCAGAGCATGTGGCGACGTAGCTGCAGGGACAACTTGGCCTCGGCCCCACGACCTAGCTTTCTCGGTGAGTGTCTCGCGAAGGCGATGCCTAGACATAGATCCTGGTACTCTGAATTCCTCAAAGTGGTCCGGGGCCCAGAGGCAGACATTGACCTCTAGATCATGATGGAGGGTGCCATACCCAGAGACAATCGGCAGAAAGTCACCCTCCAGGCCTGTGACAAAGCCCTGTTGCAGTCGGAGGTGCATCGAGGCGTCGTGATACACCAGGTCGGGCTGGAACCGGGGAAGATGCATGGTTCTAGCCGTGCCGGTCAAGTCAGTAGGCTCACTAACCGCACGACCAGCAGAGACCAAGGTCGCGAAGTACCCCGCTAAGAGCCATCCTTGGCGAAGTAACCCGAGACTAATCCATCCAGCAGCGCTAGGGTCCGCTTGAGGTGCTGGGGCTGCCGGGGTACCTCCAGGATGCGGCAAAGTGGCATCCGCCGTCGGCTGCGTGGAGGTCTCAGTTCTAGCCCTAGCTTGGCCCATTGTGTGAGGTCTGCGGTGAGGGACAAGAGTCAGGCAAACAGGGGGGTCGCTATCAAGGGAGGTTGCGGGAGAAATTACAACTTCTTGATGGAGGAGCCTCAATTGACCCTCGTGAAGTCCTCGCAGAATCTCAGGTCCAGTAGGACCTGCTTGCCTGAAGGTAGGGAGTTGCATAAGTACGTCGGCAACAGGGGTCCGGGGTCCCAAGTACACCAAGCTAATTTCACCCCCAACTGCACGGGCATCGACTACATAGGTGACCTGAAGAGCGGACTGCTCGGCTTGAGCGAATTGCAGTGGCGGTAGTCCCGGCATATGCGGCCACACCCTTTGCAAGCGGAGAGGACCAATATCTCCAACCGCTTCATACGCTTCGCGAAGGAGCTCATCCCGATCATGGAACGGGTCCGTGTCGTAGAAAATGAGACCGGTGAGCGTAATGATCACAGCTCTGGCATGGGGATTGACAATCAATTCAAAACCCTGGTCAGTTCCATCAAAGGAGCTGACCGCCATCCGGTGCTCCGCTGAGTGAGTAGGACTGCGGCTGCCTCTCGTCTCTTCTGCATACACCGGTAGTGCTTGCAAGGCGTCATTGCCGTGGAGGAGGAGTGCCTGACACTCGGGCTCAAAGAAGCCGTGTCGGGTGCGGCATACGGTATAGGCAAGATCCAAGGCCAGATCCTGGCTTCTAGCGGCAGCAACAAGAAAGTAACTAGCCAACTGTTGACGTGGCCCCCGGACAACCGAAATGGTACCTCCAAGGGCACAGAGGTCAACTGGAATGCATGCCTGGTTCCATGCCACATCATTCGGAATGACAACAACCTGCTCCAAGGGCAAGGCGGGCAGTAGCGTCTGGAGCTCATGGACGTGCCAGAGCTGGAATGACAGGCCAACAAGCTGCAGAATGACCCTGTGCAGCTGAACCCCGTGCAGCCGCGTATCAATCGCAACCTGAATCGGACCTCCAGACGTATGTCCTGCCACAAAGACCGCAATGGACCTGAGGCAGTGAGGCTCGGGGTTGCCTGGGTTAGGGAGTCCAGCGGCGGCATTGATGAGGGGACCCTCAAGCTCATGCAGCCCATGTGCCCGCGGTACAGTGCCGACAGTAAGAAGGGACTCCCCACGGAATCTCCGACTATGACGTACCTGCACAAGTGACATAGCGTCTTGGGTCACCCCTATGCGGCTCTCAGGGGCAGGAGGGCAAGAGTGACCAGAGCTGCCGATGTCTGGCTCAGTCCATGGCTGAAATGAAGGACCCGATCCGGCGGCGTGAACATGGGATGAGGCGATGAGCCACAACAGGAAGCCGACGCGCACATGCTTGCCACCACCTGTCTTGCCCGAGGTACCGCTTCCATGGCCCTGTGCCCGGGAGCGCCGAAGGGAAGAGCACAAGCAAACCGGGCAGAGGGCGAGGTAGGAGGGAGGCCCAATTCCAAGGCGCAAGCAACCGAGGAGTTGATGGCACAGCTGTCTGGCAAGAAGAGCAAGACTTCCCAGGAAAATCACTGTACAGATTCGCCAAAACATCTGTACAACTCTCGAGTCCAGCCTCCAAGTAATATTCCGAGCGTCAGCTCCGATTACGCTGCGACTCATTCGAAGGGACATTCCTGTTCCAGCAGGATCAGTTCCACGTCGTCCTCTGTCCGGGTCGTGGGCAGATGGCCCTTTGGTTGCAGGCCTTGCTGGAGTACCACATGAGGATTTGCCCACTCCTGCAGCGTTTGCGGGGCAAAGTTGGCAAGCCCCGCCACTCTTTGGTTGAGAAGGTGGGCCAGGGCTACCAAGCCTTGCCTGCATGTAGTTGCCAACACTGGCTGCGAGTGTATCATCCCGCCGAGGTGTTGTACCTCTCGACTGACCTGCAGTATGTGGTGGCCCTTGACCTCGTCGGGATGCTCTGCATGTGCACGCAAGGCCTGCCAAAGGGTCTCGGCCTTTTGGTGACATTCTTGGATCTCGTCGGCGCTGGCAGGTTGTCCAGGCAGATGCACCTGTTCCAAGTGCCCCGGAACATCGCCGACCAGATCCGATCCTTGGACTGTGATGCGCTGAGCCATATTGACCCACGCATGGAACCACGCCTGCTGAGCAAATTGCCAGTCTCGCTCGCCTTGTTCCGCATCTGCAGAAAGGCCAGACGGGACTGCCTCCTCGTCCAGGGATCCTGAAGCGGCACCTGGGTCGTGACCGCCAGCATCGTCTGCTTTGAATATCGCCGCAGGCTTGTTCATAGTGGGCGACCTGCCCGTGGCCGTCGATAGCCAGGGTGACGGTATATCCGCCTCGCGCAGAACCTCCGTGTGACCATCTGAGGCGATCTTGCCAGTCTTGCGGGGGCTCTTGGAAGGCCTGGTCGAGACCGGGTTCGTCATCCTCTTTTGGCCCCATCTCCGGCCCAGGCCTGTGCCAACCGGGGCCGACGTGTCCAGAGTGCCCGGACTTCGTGCCGAGGAGTCCAGGGATGGGATCGAACTGGCAGGGGCAGAAGCAAAACTGCCTTGCTCTACCAGCATGCCTTCTTCTGCATTCCCGAAGAGAGGGAGCGCTGCATGCGGCTGCGGCATACTTGATGCTGGCGGGGCGACTGCACCAGCCGCGCGCAGCTCCGCAGCTAATCGGAGGACTTCGTGCCCGACCACGGCAGGAATCGCCGGCCCGAGCACCTCCGTCGCCTGCTGTCTCAGAGCCGCCGCTTGCCCTGCCACCAGCCCTTGTGATGCCGTGTCCAGGGCCATGATGGCTTCTTGGATGTCCGCATCGATCTTGGCCCCGACTCCGTTGATCTGGCGTGGGATAGCCGCCAAATGGCGTCCCACCTTGTCCAACCAGGCTGGAAGCACTGTCTGAAGCCCCAGCTTGGCTTTCGCATTTGCTTCGAGACGCTTGGTCGCGCGAGCAACTGCAGACGCTTGGAGGTTGGCTGCTTGGATAAGAGTTCGGTCCTCGTCCACGGTAAAGTCGTCTAGTCTCAGGTCCGACGTGGACCTGTCGCGAATAGACTGTAGAGCCGCAATCACCTCCTGCGGGAATCCCAGCTGAACAGTGGACGTAGTCGGCAGGGGCCCTTCCGGCTTGTTGCCCTTGCTGTCTCCCTTGCCTCGGCCACGTTCTTTTGAGGGCGCTCCCTTGGGTGGCATCGACCCGTGGTGTTGCGATAGGAGAACTCTGTCCCTCACTGTGCCTCGGCCTCGGCGGAGGCGAAGGCGGGCTTGGAGACGCTGCCTGCGTCTCCGCCTGTGCCACCCTGGTTCCTGGAACCTGCGGATCGCGAGGTGGTTGACCCGCCCACAAAAGGCCGAGACCGAAAAGTAGGAGCGGGAGGATGGGCCAGAAGGTGCGTCCTGTGCCCATAGAAGACAATACCACCTTGTTGGCAGAGCAAACTGCAGCAACAAAGAAGCGGTGGCCAGCCGCGCAGCAAAAGGCCAATCAGCACTGCAGGGCCGCAGAGAAGGCCGACGGCAGAGTAAACTGCAGCGTCAGCAAGCGGGGGCAAGTCCGCAGAAAGAGCCCAGAAACTGTGGCGCCACCCACGATAAAAGGCAAGGTAGGCCCACCAGAGGCAGCTACCAGGGGAATACAGTCCCCAAGGGTGCAAAAGCACCAAGCCTCCGATTTCCAAATCGAAGGCAGTCGCGATGGCTGACGAGGCAGGGATCGCTAGGGTCTGGAACCTAATAAGCAAAAAGGCGGAAACGCAGAGACCACCCAATGCGTTATCTGAGCCGAGACGCCTAAAACCCCCCCAACCCTAAATCCTGAAGCCCCGACCTCTAAACCCCAAACCCCGAACCCTGAATCCAGGCCTGAAGTGCACCCACAAGTTTCGAAAGTTGCGCCCTAAGCCCAAAATCCATCCCTAGCCCCGCCCCGGTTGGAGGTTCATGGGTAGTTATAAGTGGGGATATAATTATAGGGTAACCATAATTATAACCCATACTAAGGGACTTGTAATCCCACTTATAACTACTTAAAGGCTCATGGGACTTAGTATGCAAGGTTATAAGTAGGTTATTATTAGGATAACCCCACTTGGGGGACTTATAACCCCAGTTATAACCTACTTACTAAGTCCCATGATCCTCTAAGTATTCTAAACTCGCCCGTATAGAACCCTTATAGATCCCTAAACACTAAACCCTAAAGGATCCCTTAAAGGAGCCCTTTAAAGGAACCTCCAAGCGGAGCGAGCAAGGCCTTCCAGATCCTCGGTCAACGCGAGATCGAGGCCCATCTGCAGCTGAAGAGTCTGCTCCAAAGCATCCAAGCCATCTGCCGGAGCTCAAAGGTGCAGGGTTCAGCGGGCTCCTTAAAGGGATCTATAGGGATCCTTAAAGGGATCTATGGGGTTTAGGGTTTAGGGTCTACTTGGAAGGGCAGGGGACTTAGTAAGTCGTTTATGAGTAGGGTTATAATTGGGGTAACTCCATCTAAGGTACTTATAACTCTACTTAGAACCTAGTTACTAAGTCCCCTGCCCCTCCAAGTAGGGGTCAAGTATGGGAAGTAGAGCATCTAATTTAAGACGTAGAGTGCGGGGTTTCGGGGTTTAGGGAACTTTTCTGTGTGGGGGGTAGCATGTCTTGAGGTTGTGGGATAAAGGGTGTAGAATGTGTTTAAACTTTCACGAACGATTTGACTTCCTTGTCCTATCCGCACAAAGAAGAGCTGTATACATCGATAGACTTCCTGTAGAAGCAGATAGATCGAACCTCTCCTCAAAAGTCCTTCAGGGCCCCTGTTGCTCTTGCTTCTACTCCACCTTGCAAGGCAAGAGAGCAAAGAAGCAGCAACCTCGCAAATGACAGGAAGCAGTTGAATGCAATATAGTCTTAAGTCTAGGCCAACTAGGATTCAAAACCTAAGCCCTAACACCCTCGTCCCAACGACTTTCCTTGGCTGACTTCTGAACCCCTCCCAAAAGTTAAACTTTCAGCCTCCTTGTTATAGTTCATATAGAACCCAAGATGTTGAAGACCTGAGAGCCAACCACTGTTTTTTCACTTAAGTTCGAGTGCTGGAGTTTCCCAAACCTCGCCTAGGTCGCGGGACTCTGACACGAGCAGGGCGACGGCCGGAGCTTCCACAGCACCTGCGTTTGGGACTAATTGGGGTGCGTGTGGGTTTAGGGTTTCGGTTTAGAGCTTAGGGGGCTTAGCTTAGGGCAGAGACTTTACGGCATTTTGAGAACAGGCGTCGGAGCTTTTCACTTAGGCCTTTCACCAGTGTGTCTGGAGCTGATAGCACTGAGGTGCAACTTATGAAAGCTCTGAGCTCTCTACTTTGCCAGGACAGGTGCACTTACAGTAGAAGCCAGAAAGTTGGAATATGATTACCCTAAACCCTTTAAGGTAAATTATAGGGGATCCTACCCTGAAACCATATTCCAACTTTCTGGAGTTCCCTTTACAATGAAAATGCTTCGGTTCGTCCGGCCTCACCAGTTTTTAGGACTTCAGCCCTCAAGGCACCCCCGAATCCGAAACCCAAGTCGGTTTTTGAGTTTCAGGTTCAAATTACCCTAAGGGTCCAAAGGACCCAATAAGCAGGTAATCAGGCATTTTAGGGTAGTAGTTATGTAGGTTATAGTTTTGGAGAGTAGATGATTATTGGATACTTGGACCCTTGGGGTTAAGGCTGTTTAGGGGTTCCCATGTTGAAGTTGGAGCTTCCACGGGGAGTATGTGCCTTGTCCAATTGCAGAACCCTAACCATAAACTCGCTTATATCACCTGTTTGGTACTAACTTCTGGTGTCTAGAAATAGCCCCCCCCCCCCCCATCTCCCCCATCTCCTCCACGTCAGAAAAGGCACTCTTAACCTCAAACCCTCTCTGAACCTGGCCCTGGATGGAAGGCTAAACCCCTAAGCACTTCCCCAAACCCTATAGGCCCTAACTCTGCACCCTAATTAACCACAGCACAGCCATTAAAGCCATGAAAGAGCAACCACAATATTAAGAACGAGCAGCAGCGGCAGAAGCAACAACAACAACCCAATAACAAAAGTAACAAATACTTGTAACACTAGCCGCAACAGAAAACGCAAATCTACACTTATAAAAACATGAAAAAACAAAGCTAAACCAGAAAAACAACCCTAAACCTTAAACCCCTAACCCCTAAGTAAACCCTAAAACCCCTAACCCTAAACCACGAAAGCCTAACCTCTAAGTAAACCCTAAAACCCTAAACCCAAAACAGATACGCCTGGAGCTGCCGTCGCAGCTTTGGCGTCGTGCTCCACAGCCCGGCGCAGGGCAGTGTGCCAAAGCGAAGGCTCCTAGGGCTGATGATGTAAATCCTAGGGTTCCTTTAGGGATCTAGAAGGGTACCTTTAAGGGGTTCCTTTAAGGGGATCTATAAGGGTACCTTTAAGAGGTTCCTTTGCGGGATCTATAGGGTTTAGGGTGTAGGGTTGATGATATGAATCCTGCATTACCTTTATGGGGTTCCTAAAGGGATCTATAGGGTTTTAGGGTTTAGGGTTGATGATATAAACACTGCATTACCTTAAGCACCCTG